GATGGGCGAGTGGCTCTCTCTACCTCTCTCAGTCTCTCTTTTTCTTCTTTTTTTACTTGGATGGAGCTAATAAGTATATTTTTGTAAAAACAGTAATTTCCAACAATGAGAAAGGGATAGCAAAGCCAAGTCTTTGGAAGGTTATCTTACAATGTCCTTTCACTGACGAATGTGTTTTCCTGTACTGTCACCTGTGAACAGACATGTGTTAGGAGGCCAATGGGCTTCATCTATGGCAACTTTGGTTTATTTGCTCTGTAAATTGGGACCAAAGCAATAATGGAAAGTGACATTAATTGTTTAACAGGGTCCTCTTTGTCACATCCATTGCCTTCTCTAGGGCATTTGATTGTTGAAACTTGTACAATACTAATTGAAATTGCCAGGATTAGGGGCAATGTCCACTCGACTTTACCGATAGGAGTATCTGTGGACCTTCCAACATAAAAGTGTCATCAGCAAAGATCAGACCTTTTTTCCCAGTCTCCTATGATTAAAGGGAACATAGAGTCTTTGAAACAATAACATTTCTTCTTCCTTAGTTCAAGAACAAGTCACTAAAATAAGTTGTGTTGCAGATCTCTCTAAGTCACCCACATACAGGGGTGATAATAAAATATTTAATCATTTCTAATGGACATTGACTGTAAATAATATGTACAGTGCTACCAGTACATACTGGTTGAATGCTAATCCACCTTGTGCACATACCCTAACACAAACACACACAACATACACCATGCTCATCTCCCATTCCACAATCCCTTCCCTCCCATTGTGGTTCCAGGAGAGAGGAGAATTAAAATACTTGGTGGTTTAATCAGATCTTGTAAATTAATGATGACATTATCAAGCTGCAATATTCTGCCACTGAATTTGTTGTATTCACCCAGGCTTATTAAATAAATTGGAGAAAACTAGTTAATTTAAATGTTCTTTGTCATTTTGACTTGATTGGAATTATCATAGTTTGTTTACATTAGAGATAGAACCGAGGCACTATTGTATTATGTGATTGAAAGCAAATAGAGGCTTGCAGTATTGCTGAAAAACAAACACTAAGTTTAAATCGGGATAAACAAAATGACTCCTTTATTGGTAAACATTCTTAACCATTTTTCTTGAGCTATCTGAGCTTCAATAAAGGAAGGCGTTTTTAAAACTAGGACACCTGGAGAAAATATTCAGCTTACAGAAAGTGTGTGTCTCTCTGTGTGTGTGTGTCTGCATGTGTGTGTGTTTGGACGATATTGACAAATTATATTTTGAAAGATTTTTTTAGACGATAGAGATATTTATATTTGTACATATGATTCTTTTGAGATGCTTGAAAATAACAGTTATTTTATTAAAATGGAATTTTATTCAGAATACTTTTATTAAAGTATTATTAGCTCAATTTGGTTTTTCATGTGAATCTTAATGAAAAAAAAAGAGGATGATTGGAAATTTTGGATGCAAGATTATCATCCTAGGTAGAAAAGGAGAGAAAGTAGTTTCAGTATATTTATTATGTACATAGACAGGGTCAGAGTAATTGGGTGGAGCTTGTGTTTGATAAATATTCTATTATGCAATTTCTATTTCAGTGAACTGGCCAGTTTATGGACCCATAAGTGGTACCTTTTTGAAATTAACCATTCGTTCCTCTGGCTAGGATTTACCCTCTTATATTAGAATCTTAAAACTCAAACAGTTGTCAAACCACACAGTGTGCTCAGACTACTTGACTGACAACTTCAAATCCAGGGGCATTTGGGAGGACGCATTATGCAAATGTAAAAATGCTGATTAAAGTCTGTGTTGAGACCACATGACTCTTCTTGGCCTCTTGACTCGGAAAGACTGAGGAGGGTGTAGTTTTGCTCCTGGATGGAGACGAATCAGTAATGAGGGGAAAACAATTTTTATGTGAAAATAGAATGCATACGTGATAAAGGCCTGCCTAATTTCTCTAGTAATACGATTTGATTTTCTGATTAGCTGTCTTATTCTGTGATTCTTGTAATTTTGTCAGGTCAATTAACTGGAGTTCAGTGCCAGATAGAAAGAAGTGTGGGCACTGCTGGCTTCATTAGATGTCAGCAGCTTAGGTGCATTTTGTAATAGAATCTGTGTGGGATAATTTAGCCAGTGTTGTTAATGTCATAGCATACAGAACTTATTAAAAAAAAAAAAAAAAAAAGACTTACGAAACTCACCACAACATCAAGCTAAAGGAGTTAAGCTATGTTTCATCAAAATGAGTGAGCAAAGCAAGAAAGAAAACAACTTGAGAAACAAGTCAAATTGAACAACACTGTGGAGTGCTACAAGGAAAGAAAAAAAGAAAAGAATGTGCTCTATGACATACATTATAGGCAATAGATGCAGATCAATGAATTATTCAGCAAGCAATCAATGAATATCTACACTGTGTGTCAGCACTGTACTAGCTGTTCAGGTGTATAGGCTACAGCACATTGTCCTGGTAACACGAGGATCCCTGGGCAGTGAAAATGGTTAACATGCTCAGCCACTAACTGAAAGATTGAATAGGTTGAAGTCCACCTAGAGGCATGTAGGAAGAAAGGCCTGGAGATTAACTTCCAAACAATCAGCCATTGAAAACCTTGTGGAGTGTAATCATACTCTGACACACAAGGTTGCCATGAGTCAGACTCAACTCTTTTGAGTTCATTTTTCCCTTTTCCTTTTTTAAATTAACAAGGTGCATGAAGACTTGCACAAGTACTGCAATAAATACTATCTTTCATAGTGAATTGTTTACAAACTCTTCCTTTCTATGAAGCATCCTTGGGAGCAAAGTGTTGTCTTGCTTCTCTTTGTATCTCCAACACCTACCATGATGTCTGGCACAGAGTAGGTGCTCTAAAAATGTTTGTGGACTGACTGACTGGAAATTAGTTCTCCAAGGCTATGTTGATGAGGACAAATCTGGGAAGTAGGAAAACAAGTTGTAATATATTGACAGAAGCTACTTTGGGAAGTAATGCTGAAGTAGAATAGTAGCCATGGCAGCAGGAAATAGATGCATTTAACAGGCATTAAAAGTAAGGCTCAGTAACTGGCCAAAGAGGAGTAGTTCAGTGTTTAAGTCTAAAAACTGTTACCCAAAATAGAGAAGTAAAGAGAAATAGCAGTTTCATTCTCAAAGGCTCTACATTTGATTCTGGTAATGAGAGTAATGACAAGGTAGAAACATTTAGTAGGTAGTTATAGATCCATGACTAAAGGTTGGGAGAGATGTCAAGGAAAGAAATGATCTTGAATTGTTTGGTGAGAAGATTGTGGTAGTTGTATGTCAGCTTCACTGGGCCTGATTGAATGGCTGGGCAGTTGGTAGTTATTCCCCATGATGAGACTGGCAATCAACTCCATGGTAGATGGGATCTACCACAAGCAGCTGAGTAGCTGCTTTAGGGATGTGGTCTGCTTCCCATCTATAAGAAACAGCTTTGGGAATAGTCTCTAGCTTATGGCACGCTTGAACCCTGCATGTAGCCGAGTCATTTTCAGCACCCTGCCATGCTCTGCTGACCTTGGGATTTTCAATGGACTTGAATTAATGGCCTGCTGTGTGGTTTGATAACATCGGGACTGTGCCATTTTATTTGTCGACCTTGGGCTTGTTAGCCTCAGCAGCCAGTAGCTGCCGAAGTGAAGAGATGCCTCTGGCTTCTCTCTGGATGGGAGCAAGAGGCAGAGATGAAGGCCAAGGTCAAGGGGCTTTTACTCAGCCCCTAAAGCCTGGTGCTTTGAACTCAGACTTCTAGCCTCCTGAACTGTAAAAGAATAAAGTCCTGTTTGTTCAAGCATTCCATTTGTGGTATATTCCTTCAGAGCAGTACTAGGTAACCAGAACAAATATTAAAATGGAAACCTTGAGAGACTGGATTAGGGTTGGGCATGATGGTAACTGGGGAGTGAAACCAAATGTACATGAAATGTTGAATGTAAAACAAACTCTGCTCCAAAACTTGCATCTGAAGCATAATCAATCAATCAATCAATAAAAATAACCTTATAAAGCTATTATGGGAGTTAAATGAGTTAATTATTAAAAAATAAAATGGAAACCTTGAAAGGGTATGGTTTCTCTTGGTGTAGTTTCAGTTTTTTGCTGGTGCTCAAAGAGAGGTTATCTAAATATTTTGGGGAGGATAGGTTATATAGGAGGTCCCTGGGTGGAACCAATCTTTTGCACTCGGCCACTCATCGGAAGGTAGGCAATTTGAACCCACCTAGTGCTCTGGTAGCATAGTGGCTAAGTCACTTGCCTGCTAACCAGACGGCTGGCGGTTCAAACCCACCAGCCACTCCTCGGAAGGAAGGTTGGGCAATCCTACTTCCGTAGTGATACTGCCTCGAAAACCCAGGGAAGGGTCGCTATGAGTCGGGGCCGACTCGACGGCACATAACAACAACAACAAAAAGTGGCAGCACAGAAGAAAGCCCTAGTGATCCGCTTCCATGACGATTATCCAGGAGCTACGCAAACCATATGGAGCTTAGTTGTACTCTGCAACACATGGGGTAAGAACACATGAGTAGGAACTGACTTCACAGAAACGAGTATGCAGTGAAGGAGATGCAGACACCATATGTGAGAATGAAATAGAGGATGGTTACAATTCTTTTAAGCCGTGATTCTCTAAATCTTCTCTTTTAGGTAGAAAAATAAGGCGTAAGTGTATGGAAGATGATTAAACAAGACAGAGTCCTATACAGCAGCATTAAGTACTGAAATAACATATTGCTAACTTAGCTCAACAATCAGACTTCGGTACAGTTGAAGAATTAATAAATTGTGTGATTCAGCCCAAAGTGAATTTGGAGTTTGAGAAAGCCGTGATCTTTGTGGTCTGGCATGGGCATTCAAGGTTTCATATAGAAGCTACTCATTTGGTTAAACACGTTGGTCTATGTTGATTAATAACGTTACCTACCTCCCGAGATGTACCCACCCACATCTTGCTCTGTTTTTCTGTTTTTTACAGAAGATAGATGAAGAGAATGAGGCAAACTTGCTAGCAGTCCTCACAGAGACACTGGACAGTCTCCCTGTGGATGAAGACGGATTGCCCTCATTTGATGCGCTGACAGATGGAGATGTGACCACTGACAATGACGCTAGTCCTTCCTCTATGCCTGACGGCACCCCTCCGCCTCAGGAGGCAGAAGAGCCGTCTCTAGTAAGAATCCTTCCTACTGTTTAACAGCAATTGGAGTTGCCTCTGGCTACCCGCTGCATGGGTATGATGTAGTAACAATAAGGTTTGGATTCTTAATTTAAACTGATGCCAAAACAATCCCCACACACAGCAGCATTGCAAATTCTTTGATTCTCTGTTTGAAATGTTGGAATGCAAGTTTTCATAGTGGGTTTGCTATATTTTCTTTTTAAATTATATTTTGTTGTCTATGCACGTGTGTTTATATCTTTTCATCCTGGTTCGTAGTAGTAAATATCTAGAAAATACACACAGCTAAAAGGAATAGACTAACATTTCACCTGGAATTAAAAAAAAAAAAAAATTTTTTTTTTTTCATTTAAAATAGATCATGAGCATGTTTGTGAATTTCAAATACAGCCATCATTTTTAATGATTGCATATTATCTCACCATACAGAAGAGTTCAATTTCGTTCAGCAACCCTTATGATTGGATATTTAGTATTTTTCCTTACTATTTCTCACTGTTGTAATTTGTATAATAATGAATACATTTGTACTTTTATTCTTATGCATAAAATTCTAGATATAGAATCTATAGGTCAAGGGGGTATGCAACATTTAAAGGCTGTGGATCCATATTTCTCATAAAGATTGAAAAATAATAGCACATTTGCAACCCAAGTTACTTTAATTTATGGTAAGCAATGACGAGTGAATTTGTTGGCAGTGAAGAGTGAATTTCCTTTTCAATGCAGTGCTTGTCCGGAATTTTATTAGTTCTAAGACACAGTTTACCTTCTCATCTATGCTGGCCATTTGTCATTTGCTATAAATTTGATGTAAGAGCATGCTGTATAAATTATGGAATGCCATCGTCTAAACTTTAATAATGTGCTTTAGCCTTTGAGAGGTTGTTTTTCTCACATCTCTAAGTTTTGAAAAGTTAAAGGCATTCCACATGAGCACTTGAAAACACTACTTGTCAGTGCCTAAGGCACTTGACTGCTAACCAGAAGGCTGATGGTTCAAACCCACCAGCCACTCCTCAGAAGGAAGTTTGGGCAATCTACTTCTGTAGTGATACTGCCTCAGAAACCCAAGGAGGGCTCCCTACGAGTCGGATCCAACTCGACGGCAATGAGTTTGGTTTTTTGGTTTGGTTAGTCTAGAGGAGAGAGTACTTTATAAGTAATTGATTTATTTATTGCCAAATTTCTCCACATGTCCGGACCGTGGATTTTGGTATCTGTTGTTGTTGTTGTTATGTGCTGTCGAGTCAGCCCCGACTCATAGTGACCCCTCCTTGGGTTTCCGAGGATTTTGGTATCTAGAACCATGATTTCTTTAGCTCTGATGGTATTCTGATGATTTAGACCAGATGATATTCACCAACACAGTCTGTTCACCTAGGAGGGGTTATTGCATGTCACAATGGAGGGGTCCTTGGAAGGAATCAAGTCAGCTGAATGAGGAAATGGAGCCAGCAGGGACCGCTCCCTGAGCTTACACACCTGGGGCCAGACCCTGCATTTCTTGGTCTACAGGCCAGATCTCTGTCTACTTACAAGTCATCTTTCTTTCTGAAATCAGGGATCAACACTCTTATCTCCAAACCCTCTTTGTATCACGTTATTTTGAGACATGGTTGTGAACTGTGTTTCAAAGCATACCCCAATACTTCCTTTATTGCCACTTGATTCATCTGAGGGGAAAATGGATACATATATCCCAAAACCTACTGCCATCAAGTTCATTCTGACTAATAGTGACCCTGTAAGGCAGAAGAGACCTGCCCATAGGGTTCCTGGGGCTGTAATCTCTTCAGAGGCAGACTGCCACATCTTTCTCCTGCAGAGTGGCTGGGGGTTTGAACTGCCAGCCTTTCAGTTAGCAGCCAAACAATAACCACTGCACTATCACGGCTCTCTCTCTATTCATATATATTCACTACCTACCCTGCCTCCCCACCTAAGTCCTCATTTAGTTAGGCAACTTTTCTCAGTTGGTGGTAATTTTGAAATTCTTTGGGGAGGTTCCTTTACTTTATCTTATCTAAAACATAAAGGCAGAAAGTACCACGAATGTAGGAAAAGAAACAATTTTTGGTCACAATTGTTAGTACAAAGCCAAATTTTTTCTTACTTTCAAAAAAAAAGTTTTTTTTTGGCCTTATTTTTTTATTTTTCTTCATTTATTGTTTTTTTCAAAGTTTCGTTGGCTTATTATTCTAATCCATTAAAAGATGCCTAACTTTTCTTGTGTTTCCCCTTTCCTGATATATTTGTAGCTTAAGAAGCTCTTACTGGCACCAGCCAACACTCAGCTAAGTTATAATGAATGCAGTGGTCTCAGTACCCAGAACCATGCCAGCCATAACCACAGGATCAGAACAAACCCTGCAGTTGTTAAGGTACAATCTTCTTAATACAAGGGGGAAGTAGCACAGGGTTTTTGCTTGAAGCTGGAAAGCAAACGCTAGGTCTGTGTGCATTAATTCTGCCGGGATGCTGCAACTTGCTTCATAATGGTAAAACCGATTATGAGATGGACTTCCAAGAGTGGAGCTTGAGATGTTTTAAAGAAGGAGACGTTCATTTGTACCGCTTCTCTTGGATGACTGGACTGGAAGCTCCGCTATCTGTTACTCCTTGCCCACTTTATTAGTCTATGCATCAGCGTGGGCTGAACTGAAATGTCCTGATTGGCTGGTCTGATCTGTGAGTGAGTTGAAGATGCAGGACTGCTATTTTGCCAGCTGTCTAACCTGAGAAGGATTGCTCTGGAATCACCAGCAAAAGATCGCTCTCTGCCATTAATTGGATGGAATGCTGGCAATGACATAATTCGGTTAGCAGGCTGTATTAAACAATGTTTGTCTTGCCATTCACTGTGAGTGAAAACGGAGTGTTAAGGGGTACTTAAGAGAGCTGTGAACACTGGGCTCCAGCAATCAGCAGCAAATTAAGGTTTAACCAGCTTATTTTTAATTTTTTTTTATTCACAGTAAAGGCGCTACAGGGTCTTGTTAGTTACATGTTGCTGAGTAGGAACACTGAAATGTAGGAGAAATGAAATAAAAAGCTGTATAAATGTCATTTAGGAATTTTAAATGTAATTTTCTTTCCTTGTTCTGCAAACAATTATTCACAGCTCATGGATCTAGTACACTTAGACTGAACACTTCATTGAAAATCTCATCTCTTCAGAAAACCTATATCCATTCTGATAAGGTTCAGTTCACTAATTTTGGCTTTCTTTATGCCTTGTTTTTAAGACCGAGAATTCATGGAGCCATAAAGCGAAGAGCATTTGTCAACAGCAAAAGCCACAGAGACGTCCCTGCTCGGAGCTTCTCAAGTATCTGACCACAAACGATGACCCTCCTCACACCAAACCCACAGAGAACAGGAACAGCCACAGAGACAAATGCACCTCCAAAAAGAAGCCCCACGCACAGTCACAGGTGCAACATTTACAAGGTAGGCTGGGGACCAAAGCACATGTTGGTGAGGGCGCTGGAGGCTAGGAAAGCCAGCACTGTAGCCAAGGGTGCAAAACCTTCAGGCTTCAGTTCCCATCAGTGTCTCTCGGTGAAAAGAGAATTCAACACTTTATTGTTGGAGAGGAGGAAAAAATGCTTCCCTGGCCACAGGTTGCACATATCTTGTTAAGCTGATAGGCAGTCTAAATCCCAGTTTTCAAAAGGCACCTGAACTGTTAGCTGCAAGTGGAGGCAAGGCAGAGTGGGGGAGTAGATGCAGCATCAGATGAAGTTTATATGAATCTCTGAATTGCTGGGATAATTGAAGTTCCAGGCAAGCTGGGCTAGCCAATTCATTACGGAGCTTTTATTTTCTTCCCCTCTAGTAATGGAAACAATGAGGGATTGTTGATTTGCTGTATGTAACTTAACAACTAGTAAATAGTATTTATGCAGCCCCTCCTGGTTCTGAAGCGCTGGCTTCCCTTTTTCAACTACGTGCTATGCTTACAGAGTTTGTCTGGTAAATAAGACTTGGAAATTTCTAGAAAAAAAAAAAAAAAACATATATTTTGCTTTCTAGTTAAGAAATATTTTCTAGATTAAATTAAACATCTGGATTTGTTTTCATTATCTTCCTACGTTGCTAGAAGGCTGAAGCTTCTGAGGCCAACTGGAGTGATTTGGGGAAAGCCTCTCTTGGCAGAGAGATCATTTTCTTTCTTTCTCGCTCCTCCTCATCAAGATGCTCTAGTCTTTTAAGCCCAATGAGAGCTTGCTGGGAGTTGGTGTTGCTTTCAAACAGGGCTTTGAACTGGTTTGAACTGATTCAGCCATGGCCAACAGAGAGAAACCGGAACAGACCTAAATTGTTAAAATTTGGGTGACCTGGACCACTGACTAGTACAGGAAAAGTTATTGTTCAAAGCATTGGAATGGTAGACTTGGAGGACGAATACTGACTCCTTTCAGGAATTTTTTGCCTGAAATTGGATTATTATAAGGCTGTGGATGGAGAGAGACACACATTCAAAATAGTGTAGTCAGTGGCCATCTTTGAGCTGGGCACCATCATTTTCGACAAGGTCAGTCAAGAGCTGTGGTTACTATGCAATGTACACACTGCCATTGTTTTCTCAGAGGGAAATTATGATTATGGCGCAGCTCTGATTTGTTATTTTTTCCATTCTGGGTAATGTTCTGCTTCACTCACATTTTACAAATTCGGGTCTGTTCTGTTGTCACTTCATGGACCATGAGCGAACTCGGCCGAAATGGTTCAAGCCCTGCTTTTGTATACGCTAGCTTCCACTCTAACCCTATTTCTAATGTTGATATGAAATAGGCATATTCTAAAAAAACAATTATAAGCACCTACCTCTTTTCCTTTTATTTCCTCAACTTCCCCTTTGACCTATAGAATCACAACCAGTCCTCTTTGAGCCACCATTATTGCCCCTAGGTTTGCTCTTGTTGCTGGTGCTTTTAGTTTGTATTTAGGGAAATATTTCAAATTTTCCTCCCTTATCCCTACCTCACCATAAGTTGAAGATTATCAGGAACCTTCTTTTTCTTTTTGAGCATTTTAGTGTAATTTGGATGAATTTTCACAAAGCAGATCCATTTTACATTCAACAGTTTGTACATGTTTTGTTTTGTGACAGTGATTCCAGTCCCTACAATGGGCCAGCTCTCTTCCCACTTCCACGCTTAGTGACACTTTCCCTGTATCCGCTTTGCATATGCATCCTGCCTCCCTGGCTTTCTCCTTGTGCGGATGCTGCAGTGCTTCTTGTCCCCTGTGACTGATTGTTCTGAAGAGTACATCTCTGTTGTGCACTTGCTCAGCTCATAGGTCTAGCTTTCTTTTGGCTGAGAGGTGAGACTGGGGAGTGAGTCCAATTCCAGACCCAAATGGTATCTGGGGCCCATAGTCTCTGAGTTTCACCATTCTCCAGCCTACTCCCAGATAAGCTTTCCCTGGTCGCTATCTCAGATTCACTGTCCATCCTTCTCTACCAGTTTGGGGAAATACATTGAGTGAGATGGACCAGATTCTCTACTAGCTCTCTTCTCCCTGGTTTTGCCCCATATCCTACCCACTGTCATAGTTTTCCTAAGAGCAAAACTAGCCTTGCTGTGAGACTCCTCCCTTGGCAGTGTTGAAAGCATCAGGGAAGGGAAGATAGCTGGGTTCACTTTAGTGAGTGAACTCTAGAATTCAGTGGGCCACTCTCCACCCTGCCTCAGTCATGCATTCATTTTCTGAGCTGAATTGAAGTCCCCAGGCCGAGGCAAGCCTGGAGGCAGTGAAGCTAACAAAGCTGCACTTGCTTTGATTCTTTTTGTTGTTGGCGGTGGCGGCCCTGTTGGGTTGGGGGAATCCCCGGGTGGTGCAAACAGTTCCTGCACTCAGCTGCTGACTAAAAGATTGGAGGTTCAAGTCCACCCAGAAGCACCTTGGAAGAAAGGCCTAATGTCTATTTACAAAAACTCAGCCATGGACAACCATGTGGAGCACAGTTGTACTCTGACACACATGGGGGTATCATGAGCTGAATTCCAGTCGACAGCCACTGGTTACTGGTTTGTGTTTTAAGGTTTTTATTTTCCCTCCTTGTCTGAGCACAAAAGCAAACAAACAAAAACTTTCCTAACAGTCTTAGACACTCTTCAGTGTTCCGCAGGGGAATATACTGGAACAGGGAACTGTTCCTAGCCCCACCCAACTTTGCTCTTCCTCCTCACCACCCACCCCCCCGGGTCCCACATGAACCTGGAGATCATATGTGCTCATGCAGCCAAGCATGGCTACACCTCAAGCCAAGGTGTGCACACGCTGATGCATGGTCCAGTGTAGGATGAGCGAGCCCAGGGCAGAAAGCTGTATATCTTCCCAGAGTGTGGCTCAGAAGGGCGGGAATGAGCTCCACACTGGCATGTTCCCTTGGCCCTGTAAAATCCTTGCTGCCTGGAGAGAAGCAGGGCCAGAGCAAGGCTAAGAATGGGCTCAGGGCAGGGGCCTCTCGTGCTGGCTCTAAGCCCCTTCCGCTGGGATACTTGCTGTCTGGCTCTATATTTAGATTTGCTGACTTGGCTTGTTACGTGTGAGCTCATGACTCAAAACAGGTGAGCTGCCATTATGGCATGCAGCAGTGATTTCCTCCCTTGAGTTGGGAATGAATGGACGAACTCTTTATTAGAACCATTTCTAAGTAAATGGACATCTTACAAAGCAAATTTAAAGAGACACAAACACCTAAATACAATAAAGTAGCTTTCTTTCTAATGTTCATTGCAATTGGAAAAATGTCAGTAATAACTTTATAACTAAAGCTTTATTAGGACATTTCTTGTGATCTTGCCACTTAAGTCAAATCCCCAAAGGGTCTGAATAGCTCCCAAGTTTCACACCCACTTTTCTTCTCTAAATCAAAACAAATATGATTGATGAATAGTGAGAGGTGGTTTTTTGTTTTTTGAATCCATAGCTGAGTGATTTGAAACAGGGAGAATTCCAGTGCTAGTGTTTGTTTGGTTTCCTAGTACTACCTTCACCAATCCAAAATGAAAGCCACCTGCATGTTCCCCCCCATATAGATATCCAAAGTCAAGAGAAAAATTAACATGATGCCCACCTTTATTATGTTGTTGTTGTTATGTGCCATCAAGTCAGACCTAACTCTTACTAGAGCAATTATTTCCAAATGTCTTTAATTAATTCATTCGGTCTTGTTTACCAAGTGCCTCCTGTGTTCTAGGCACCTGGCTGGCACTTGGAATGCCATGGTGAATCAGTCAGGTGTTGCCCTTGATCGTGTGGTGTTCACAGCCCCTACAAATGCAAACCTGGCCTTGTGTCTCCGTGGAGCTGCAGCCAGCCAGCTTGGCAGTATATTCCTTGCATTTGTTTCCTTTAATTTCCTACCATTCTTTTCTTTTCTCTCACTCTTACTGCCTTGAGATTGGACTTCACAATAATAAGCCTTATCACTTAAGGGACACCTTAAGCCCTGTTTTCTTACATATTCCTCCAACCACGTGATTCTAGCAGACTCCATCAACCAGATCCCTGTTTCCTTGGCCATAGAAGTGGGCGCATGTCCCAAGCGATTGTTGTGTGCCATCGAGTTGACTCTGACTCCTGTTGACCCTATGTGACAAGGTAGGACCGCCCACATGGTTTCCTAGGCTGAAATCTTTACAAAAGAACATCACCAGGTCTTTTTCCCTGTGGGGTGGCTGGTGGTTTGAACTACTGACCTTTCATTAGTAGCTAAGTGTTTAACCATTGCACTACCAAGGTTCCTTTGTCCCAAGCTAGCCCAACAGAAACCCTTACCTGATGTCCTTTTTTTTTAAATTTTCTCCCCTAATTTTTTTTTTTATTTTTTATCACAGTGAAAATATACACAAGGAAATATTCAGTGTGTCAACAATTTTGTGTTGAGGTTTTTATTTTTGAATTCATTTTCTCCCTTCTGCTTCCCACAGTGACTGTGCCATTTTACAGTCCCGCCAGCAGTGTATGAGTTCCGGTCTCTCCACACCCTTGTCAGCATTTGTTGTTTTCTGTCCTGTTGGACCTTGGCTATTAATGCTGCGATGAGACGATATCTCACTGTTGGTTTCATTTGCATCTCTCTCTTGGCTAATGATCAGGAGCATTTCTTCATGCATTTCTTGGCCACCTGAATGTCTTCTTTGGGGAAGCGTCTGTTCATGTTTTCTGCCCATTGTTTAATTGGATTATTTGCCTTTTTGTTATTGAGATGTTGAAATTTTCTATAAATTTTAGAGATTAGTTCTTTGTCAGATATATCATTGCCAAAATTTTCTCAGTGTGTAGCTTCCCTTTTACTCTTCTGGAGGTCTTTTTATGCAGAGAAGCTTAAATTTTAGGAGGTCCCAATTGTCTAGTTTATCTTCTGCTCTTTGTATTTTTGGTTATGGTTGATAGCTTATTTATGCCATAAATTAAAGCCCCTAAGTTTGTCCCGGTTTTTCTTTTTGATGCTCTGTATGCTTTTAGGTGTTACATTTAGGTCTTTGATCCATCTTGAGTTGGTTTTCATATAAGGTGTAAGGTATGGATCTTGTTTAATTTTTCTGCAAATGGATATCTAGTTTCGACAGTACCATTTGTTAAAGAGACTCTTTCTTCTCCATGTAATAGATATGCTTCTGCTTTAAAAAACTGGAAATAGAAATACCATTTGATCCAGCAATCCTACTACTAGGTATACATCATAAAGAAATAAGAACTGGGACACGAGTAAATATATACACACCCATGTTCATTGCAGCATTATTCACAATAGCAAAGAGATGGAAATAACCTAAGTGTCCATCAACAGATAAATGGATAAACAAACTATGGTAAATACACACAATGGAATACTATGCAATGTTAAAAAAACAATAATGAATCCACGAAATACCCAAACACCTCATAATGTGGATGAACCTAGAGGACATTATGCTGAATGAAATAAATCAATAACAAAAGAACAAATATTGCATGAGACCACTGTTATAAAATGTCAAGAAAAAGTTTACACACAGAAAGAAACATTCTTTGATGGTTACCAGGGATGGCAGGGAAGGAGAGGGAAACTCACTAATTAGGTAATAGACATGTATTAATTTGGGTGAAGGGAAAGGCAATATACAGTAAGGGGGAGGTCAGCTTAATAGCAGGGCAAGACACAAGAAGTTCACAAGAGTTACAGACAACAAAGGGAAATACTATACATACACTATCCTGCAATATCAGTAGTAGCAAACAATAACCTATGAGTTATTGCAGGAAGACATGCAGCTGATAAGTATGGGGAGGAGAATGAGACTACACCCATGACCATATATAGGTTTGGCAGAGGGTATTTCTACATATGTGTTCGTATGTGTTGTAATTATATTTGTGTATATAGTAGAGCAAACAGGGGGCAAAGTTATGAACATGTCTTAGCCATAAACAAACACCTTTTGGGAATGAGTACTGGGCTTGAAGGCTTAGGAATATATTCTAGGGATATAGGTAAATCAATTGTCATAACCGTTCACAAAAACAAAGTTTAACACACCGTACTGTGATTAGTAGCAACTGGGGTCATTGGACCAGAGGTTGGATTAAGCTCTCGGCAAACCAAATCACTATTGCTCTAGGGGTAGCTTTGGTGGACCTGGGCTTATTTAGGGACTGGGTTCTGTATGTGGTTTGAGGACTGTACCTTTGCTGTGGCTCTAACTGACGTTTGTGTCTGGGCCCAATAAATATGGCTGTTCTCGATTCCTCTCCGGGAGCTCTGGTGGCGTAGTGCCTAAGGCACTTGACTGCTAACCAGAAGGCTGGTGGTTCAAACCTACCAGCCACTCCTGGGAAGGAAGTTTGGGCAATCTACTTCTGTAGTGATACTGCCTCGGAAACCCAAGGAGGGGGTCACTAAGAGTTGGGTCCGACTTGATGGGAAACAACAACAAAGATTGCTCTCAATATTACCTGCCTCCAACTATCAGAATTTTGGGAGTCTTCCTTGAGCATGCAAGATTTCCTACACCTTGGAAATTGAAATTTCAGCGGCTCATTTTCAATGTACAGTTGTTATAAGACATCATACTTAGTTCACATCTGGTTGTATTTTCTGCAGAACCTATATGAATTATCATAATTGTTAATTTAGCACCATGAGTTGGAATAGCTCCTTTCATAAGTATACGCTTTTTAAAAGGCTCATTATATTAGAGATACTGAAAGATTAATATCAAACCAGCTCATTTATCTGTGCATATGAAAAAGCTAATCAATCAGTGTACTTAATTTGTAGAAGACAGCATGGGCTTCCTATTTCTGGGTGTACATTGGGAAGATGGTATACAATTCAATTGTTTAAACCTGAATTTACAAGTTAAATATGTATATGCTATTTATCCAAGTAAAGTGCCAAATTTCAGGCTAATTGAACATAAATAATCTCACCTTTCAAAAGAACTTTATTATTGGGTTTAATTGATTTATTTTAATATCTGTTAAATTTAATTATTTTTGATAGGAGAAAGGAAACATATTTTTGGTCAACTCTTCTATGAACTAGCTTTATGGCCCTGAAAATATCATTTAACTATCTTTATGTCTTAGATTCTTCATCCATAGAATTAGAAAGCTTATTCAAAATGCTTTCTTGTACTTAAGTCTATGATATTCATTATATAAATGATTATATCTTGACCATTGGAAAGTAGATATTTTAATTATAAAATGTTGAAATATACCTACATACATATCAATATATTTTCATAGATAAGCATATATATATAATACAGGAATGGATATCCTAAGTATGTTTCCCATTTTACTTTCCCCTCCTTCTGTTCAAACTACAAGACTGCTGAGGACTCTACCTTTCATAATTGGGAAATGCCTCCTGTAGGAGGTAAGGTTTGAAAACATAAAAGAAAGAAGGCAAGCTCTCTTTGCAAGTCTGTGGGTTTCTCAGCTGGTAAACGTTGCATCTTACTATAGTTATCCATTGGATTTGGGGCTTTGAACCCTTTTAAGACATCTGAGTCAATGCCAATAACTTGCCATAATCCGTCATTTAATTTTCAGCCAATGGAGTAGTTGTTGCTTGAGCTTTGCCCTCATAAAAATAATCTATTCTCAGGGCTAAATATAAAATTATACATTTTAGGAGTAAAATCAACTGAATATTCATAACGTTCTGTTGCTTCATAGTTACTCTGCTGTTTTCTTGTCTAAACAAACCATGTACTATATTCCAAATTAAAGGGAAAAACATTATTTCTCTCTGATGGCATGGTGCAGATTTTATATCCTTAATAGGAATGGTATATTTTGGAGAAAATTCTGTTCTTGGATGTGTTTTCAAATGATAGTTTACTGATGCAGATGTTGTTTGGGGTTTGTTTTTAGCATACCGGACTGTTGTCTGTCTTTGATCCAATATTCTGGGATTTCCTTGGTTTCATCTTCCAGTTATCTGCTCAGCTTTCCAACTTGACAGGAGAAGAAAGAAAATAAATCTAGGGGACATTCAGTATTGCATAACTAGTTTTTTTTTTTTTCTTTTTTTTTTCCTTTAGCCAAACCAACAACTTTATCTCTTCCTCTGACCCCAGAGTCACCAAAGTAAGTATTAAGAAATGTCACCATTTTCAGAAAGGGAAGGGGGTTCTAATACATTTGGCTACAGCAACTCCATTTCAGTTTGTTTTTATAAATGTGCCATATCTTCCAGTGACCCCAAAGGTTCCCCATTTGAGAACAAGACTATTGAACGAACCTTAAGTGTGGAACTCTCTGGAACTGCAGGTAAGCCTGACATTTCACTTGGATGTTTTTTGCTCATTTGTGAAACATGTCTTAGATGATAGAACATTGTAGTGGTCTCTGTTTGACAAGTGAGGTTAATAAGGAGTATAAGCAAAATTGGATACGAAGCTATCAGTAAGTATGTTCAGTTCTTTTTCCTTTCTTCTTTTTTAAGTGTAGGCATTTTTTTATGTGTTAGACTTGGGCCCACTCTTTGATGTAGATTATTGCCCTGGATCCTCAAATAACCCTATTTCTGATGAAGAAATTGAGCTTTGAGTAAGATAAGAAATTGACACTTGTAGAGCTCCCATTCAATCGCTATGCCAGGCATGGAACTGGTTTTGGTAGACGTCAGACAGCCTCAGAAGGATGATGAGAGCGTTCTCATTTTAGAAATATGGATATGAGGTTCAGAGATGTCAAGCAACTTTCTGCTGGAAAGCTAGGAGATAAGGTTTGAGCCTATGTTTACTAATTATCAACGCTTCACTTGGAATATTTGTATGTGCTTATATATCTCACTATTTCTATATCTTTCCAGAAAAGGAGAAAAATAAAATATGCCCATTCATCAAAACAAAATACCTTAATGTATTTTTGAACAAGAGAATCTTCTTTCACCATTTTGGATTTCTGAACTCATTTAGCCAGTCTTTACTTCACACACTAAAGAAGAAGGAGCATTCACAAACTTGGACTAACTGCTGAGATACTTATTAATCTGACGAGTTTCTAGGCAGATTTCTGAGTTGGTTGTAAGTGGTGGTTTTGCACTATGTGCTTTAGGTCTGGGTTCCTGAATCCCACCAGAAAGTGACTCTTAGGATGTCTGAACAAGAAATTCCTTGACTCTGGCCATTGCTGATAAGGGGAAAGGAACAGTAGATTAAACAAGATGCTTTCAACCAGAACTATGGTGCCTACACGCACTATGGCCATTGTCACTCAGTTTAATTTCACACTTCCAGTTTGCTAAATTATCTCCTTATGAAAGGTCTACTGCATGATTTGGTCAAGCAGTAGAGTAGTTGATTTCATGGTGTGTATATGTGTGTGGAGACACACACACATATTTACTTATAACCTTATATAATATCATTTAGTAAATAAATTATAATTCACATATATTATTATAAGGGACACTTCTTTGTGCATTTATTCTATTCCTTCTTATGTGAACAATGAAGATAAAAAATTGGTGAAATTACCCAAAAAGTCCATTAAAGAATATATATTTTTATGATTTTATTTTTACTTAAAACATGTAAATATATATTCAAAAATCACATTTTTTTTTTAATGCTAACTAGGGATCCATTCATCATTCTTGTGCAAACCACAACTAATGTGTTATAGATGCTATTCACTTTTTGTTTGTTGCTCTTTGAAGGAAAATAATTAATAATTAATGTTTATATGGTAGTCTGAGTGTAAAATCTTTGTAGCATTGTGATATTTTCCCCAGTGTTTTCTGTTACCACACAGCTGCATCTAATTTGACAGCATTTTTTGTAGTGACAAAGGAGCCCTGGTAAGTGCTCAGCTGCTAACCCAAAGGTCAATAGTTCAAACCTCATTCAGGCAGTTCCATGGGAGAAAGAAGAGACAGTCTGCGTCCATAAAGATGACAGCCATGGAAAACCTTTTGGGGTAGTTCTACTCTGTCCCATAGTGTTGCTATGATATTGTCTTGACTCAACAGCAATGAGTTTGGTTTGTATTTTTGGTTGAAGTGACATACTTTCATGAGGTCTTTTTAATGGAGACAACTCTTTTTGGACTTATATTTCATTTATTTACATACTATTTTATATTATGTAATTTCAAGCACCAGTACAATGGACATTAACTCATTTGTGAAAATACACTACCCAGCTCTTGATAAGAACCCACCTTAAAGGAATCTGTTAACTAAGAATGACTGTGTTAATTAGTCATTTACTATATTTGAGATCGTCTCTGTACATATCAATACCAAGCTTTTCATTAAAGAAATACTTTTTTAAAATATTCTCTGATGACAAAATGATATTAACTTATTCTGGAAATGTAAAAAATATAAATTAGTTGAAAAATTTATTAATACTTCTGTGATGTAAGGGTATTAATAGCATTGTTTTCTATGACTATTTTTATACATTTATGATCATTTTGTATATATACAGTTTCACATCCTGATTTTTCAGTTAACATTTTAATAAGAAATTTTCATGTCACCATAAACCTCTTACTCTCAAGACTTTAGAGTGCTGTGTAATTCTAGTTTGAGTCGGCACAACAACATTTATGTCTTCTTACTCCTGTTGTTATACATTTAGGCTGGTTTCAAGTGTTACCATTTAACATAGTGGAATTCTATGTCCATAAAATGTTTTAATCTTTTTTTCAAAAAACAGATTCCTAGTGGTTAGTTATGTTGAAGAAAAGGATATAAATACTTTGGAGGTTTCAGATGTACATTGCCACATCACTTTCCAAGGGTTATTTCCAGTTATAATCCCATTAGCACTATATGGATATACTTACTTCATCACATCTTTGCTAGCATTGGGTATTTTCATTTTTAAAGTGTTTTATTAATTTATGAGGATGAACAGGTCATTTAAATTGCATTTTTTCTATTAGTGAAATTCTGGTATTGTAAGACAAAGCACTTCTTTTTATTTTGTTCTTGCCATAAGTTTTAATATTCTTAAGAAGAAATACTGAGTTTTAAATAATTTAGTTATAATTTTGAAAGGTTAATAGCCTGCACTCTATTGAGAGTCTGTTAGAGATTTATAGAAGATACTTTTTTTTTTTTATTACTTAGAAACCTTAAAATTGTGTATAGTGGATTTGTTTCTGTCAGTGAACCAGCATTCATCTTATTAGTTTAAATATTTCATTCTTGATAATATTGAAATCAATAGGGTACTGTGGAAATCAATTTACCAAAATATTTTTTATATCTGCTCTATGCTGATAATATAGGCTGGGGACTATACAGCAAATGTAAGAAATAGAAAATAATTCATAAAAAAATGGAATTAAGTGATGGGCCACAGTTGATACTATATAAATGATTCATGTGTTTAAAATGCAGGCTTATAATCTTGAGCAAATAACACATATTATACAAACAATATGAAAAATGTTATTTATAATTTTTTGCCACCTTCTAAGATAGATGGGCCCTAGGTGTGGTGTTTAGTTTGTTGAGCACAGTGTCAATAAATATGAAGATGCAAATTGGAAAAGACGAGGTAATGCCAAATTGTGCCATACAAGGGAAAGAACGTAGAGATATAGGAAAACAAGGAGAGCAGGGGGAAATTGGAGGATGCTGAAGGAACTTGGATAGGAGCTCTGGTGATGGAGTGGTTAAAGCATTTGGCTGCTAACCAAAAGTTTGGTAATTCAAAGCCACCAGTTGCTCCGTGGAAGAAAGATGAGGCAGTCTGCTTCCATAAAGATTTACAGCCTTGCAAACCCAATGGGGGAAGTTCTACCCTGTCCTATAAGGTTTCTACGAGTGGGTTTGTGCTTGGAAGGAGACATTTGGAACCTGCCTTCACAGTAATGTAGAGAGGAGTTGGAGGAGATTTTGTTGTTGTTGTTAGACAGAGATACTCTGGGTTTGAAATCATGTGTGTAATACAAGTTGCCCATCATCTCCTCTCCCCTAATCATCTTCAATAAAAGCCTGTTTCCCAGTAGTGTTAGGTCGATGGTATTTTATCTCGGAGAATGCGACAAACAGTCATTTGTATCTCAAGAGAATAATGGAAGTTATCCAAGGGAGCCCTGTAATGTGGCTTCAAGTTAAATAGGATGATTGTGCAAAAGGATAAAAAGAATTCCAAAGACAGTTCAGGACTAAACAACCATTAAGGGCATACCATTGCTAAGCAAATCATGAGGTGATCATGGTAAAGACTTTGGAAGAAATTGAAAACTCTGCAGGCTAAACTAAGGAATCCTGATAGCTCAGTGGTTAAGCACTTGGCTACTGACCTACAGTTATTAACCTAAAGGTCATCCCCCAGCCACTCCCCAGGAGAATGATGTGGCAGTCTTCTTGCATAAAGATTTACAGCTTTGGAAACTATGGGGGAGTTCTCATCTGTCCTGTAAGGTCACTATGTATAGGAATGGAGTGCCTGGCAACAGGTTTTGGCAGGCTAAACTGACTTGGGGAGACTTAAGAGGCAAGAATGAGTCAGTTTGAAGTGGAGGAGGGTGGAAAAGGGAGAAGATATTACTGGAACAGAAGGAAAAAGGTAGGAGATCAGAGATGTTCAGGTGGCAGTGAATTTGGAGTAAGCATCGCAATCAGTAAGGAACCACCGTATGAACACTCCCTCCATTGTTGATTTCTAAGACTATTGGCTAGAACTCTTTGATCTTTTTTTCTCAGTTTCTTCAGCTTCAAAGTCACATTGACAATTCCCCAATGAAATTTCTGTCTGACTCAAAGGACTAATGTATAGATTGAAATGTAAAGTTGCCATGATTTAATCATTTTTGACATACAAAAAAGGCAATTTCATATGGCTCAACTTGTTCATAAACAGCAAAGTTCCAAATAAAAGTACTCAATTATGACTTTTTTTTTTTTTTTAAGCAGTCAGCATACCTTAATTAAGCTGCTCTAAACCTTGACTTTGGTGTTAGACAGACCTGAGTTCAAACCTTGGCTTTTCTCCCATCTCATTTTATGATCTTGGTCAAGTTCCTTAACTTTTGCTCAGACTCAGTATTCTGTATCAAGGGAAAAGAATAATAGTACCCATATGTAACCAGTCACTGTGAGGATTATATGAGGTAATGCATGCAAAATGTACAGCCCAGTGCCAACCGATATGCACAAGCAATAAACATTAACTCTTTAATTACTAGTTAGGAACCACCTTTATCTACTGAGTTCATCATGTCTTGATGCTCATCTTTCCAACTTTGTCTGCCTACCTGTATTGAACTTGCTGTTACATTCTGGCAAGATACTCCTACTGCCT